CATGGTTTTCCTCCGTAATTTCTTGTTAGGCCCCCACCAACTAAAGAAAGTATCTTGAAATCAACCAAAAAACTGAAAAGTTTCTCAAAATTGATAWAAAAAACCCTTAAAAATCCCTCGAAATAATCCAAAAAACTTCAAAAATCTCTTGGAATGGTGGAATAAGGCTAAAAACACATCGGACGACTTTGTGGGCGTTTAAGCTACCTTAAAGGTGCCCCCACTAGACCAAAATCCTGGATCCGCCACTGTTAATATATATATATATATATATATATTATATATATATATTGACATACATAAGAAAGTGTGGTTCATTTGGGGGTGAAATACATAAGAATGTAGCAGTTTCTATGTTAGAATGGATTATTGACAGACAAATACTGGTTATTCTGTAATTGGTTATTAACACCACCCTCACGTAACTCGTTACTACATAACCGTGTAGCCCCTTAGGCTGTGTTTGGTATGTGGACATAACGGGAACAAGTGAGATATGTTGGTGAAAAAATTGTGTAAGGTTTTGAAGTTTTAATTTGGTAATTTAACTAATCTTTATCTCGTCTTTGTAATTTTTGTTTTACCTATTTTGATGCAATATTAGTCTTATGTGCCAAATGCACCCTCAGAGCATCCACAATGATGGTCGTTGTTTTACATATTTTAATGCAATATCAGTCTTATGTGCCAAATGCACTCGCACCCTCAGAATATCCACAATGATGGTCGTTGGAAACCAACTTTTTACCTCAACCAAGCTCTACTGCGACCCTACTTTTTTCCTTTATTACTTGTTATTTTTTTTTATAAAATGTTTATTTACATTTTTCATGTAAATAATGTTTGTTTATGTTTATATATTACTTAATTAAATAACTTTAACTAGTTTGAAACGGTTGAAAATAGTTAAAGATAAATTATATTAATCAAATAAAACAAAAACAATATTTTTAAAAAGAAACTTAAAACCCAAAAATGGAAGGAAAGAATTAAAAAAAAAAGTAAACGAGCAGCTTGTAAACTAACAAACACTCATGCTCGCAACCATGCCCCCTATCATTTTCTTAAAATATATAATATTTATGTATGACATAACTCATGTGTATTCTTCACCCTTATTTTGATTTATAGGTATAGGTACCTTGAAATGGCTCAAGACTTGAACCCTGAAGCCAATGTTTAGATTCATTTCTTTTGACATTCCATTTCAAGCATGTCTCATGACACCACCATTTGTCTTTGAGAGGATGATCATGTTCTACTATATCCTCACCACAAAGCCATTTAATTGGTTCCATCATTTGTCAATCCATTAGATCCTGTGCTGAAAGAACTATCGATCCTATGTTTGATCCTGGTCTAATCCACACTTTGATGGTCAAGGACAAGGTTAAGAAGCTAACCTCTGATCAAATTCTCACTTAGAAGGCTATTGTGGAAGCCAAAACCATCCATAGGCTTTTGGCCAGTTGTGAGAAAAAAAAAATTCAAAAGAGAAGCTACTATCGAAGCTGCTGCTGCAGCAGGGACAAATGACCAACTAGAGGTGTTGATTTTGTTGATCAAAGATGTTTCTAACCAAAACAAAATGTTTTGGAGAAGATGGAGGAACTCAAGAAAGAATCGGGTTATAAGATTCAAAGGCATAGAGAGAAGCTGGAGAGGACTCTGACAGTAGTTCTCAATGCACTCAATCATTCTCATATGTGATCTATGCAAATTCGGTGTTTTTTCTAACTTTTGAATCTTTTTATTGTTGTTGCTTTAGCACAAGCAACAATTTAAGTTTGGGGATGTGATGTGTGTTGCAATTTACGTTGCTACAACATCATTTGAGTCTTTTTTTTATTATTGTACATCTTCTTGGACTTATATAGTTAGTAG